GGGGGGGGGGGGGGGGGGGGGACTTGAACTTCTGAATTATAATTCTGACTTGAACTTCTGAATTATAATTCTTTGTTACTGCTTTCAATTATACAGTAAGTATGAAGCTAGAAAATTTAGCAATTAATGCTTCATGCTATAGTCTCTGATTCTAAAGCTGGAAATTCATCTGCCTCGGGTTCTTGTCCACTTAATCCTTTGAAGAGCAAAATTGTAAGGCTGCCAATGCAAAAATAGATAAAGCAGCCATAGCAATGAGTCACGAATGAACCGAAATTAGTTCCTACTATACATTGCCATCCAGATCCATGTTGACTGTCAAATTCCTGCAATTAACATGGCCCAGAAACCATTATATGATTTGTTGTGAAAAAACGTGAAGAATAAAATCGCAAAGAAGAACAACAATAAGATTGACACAAAAATTTAAGTGGTATGACAATTTGCCTACGTCCACTAACTTCGAACAAAATTATAATAGTTTATTTATATAGAACCTTAATCTCAAACATGGTTAAAGTTATATTTAGTATTTATTTTCAAACATTATAATAGACAAAATCGAACTTTTCCTGATGTACCTTTTTAATAAAACGGGCTATTTCAGTGGCCTCGTTGACATCAAAGAAATCGAGTGCCTTCGCTGCTATATGAAGTGCATCTTGTTGCATGGTTTCGAGCATATCCGTTTCACCAATCACTGCTTTTCCTTCCAGCATGATTGAGTAAATTAGTGGATGCAGAGCAAGTTTATCTTCTCTCTCTTCTTAGCCTCGTCGGTTTAGGGGACTATATATATACCAGCCCTGGTGGGTTGGGTGGGGTTGGGGTGGGAGAACTAGTGGCCCTGAGGATTAGCTTTATGTGGTAATCAAGAATTTACATATGATGCCGTGGAATCATGCTAGATGGCAATTCCAGATTACATAACAAGTGGATCGAATTTGGATCATACCAATTTGACGATAATGGCCATGGCCCATGATGTGGGCGGGCTTGCAAGATAACTTCTGATCCCTCATGTCGACATTTTTCGATTCATTGGTGCATAAATCAATTGGATCACGTAATCCCACCACCCATTCCAGAAAATAAGTACCTATTTGAGATGACTTCTACTTCTATTTTCTTATAAACAAGCTTATTGAAAAATCACGTTGAACCAACTTTTTCTAAAAACTCTTTTAATATGAAAAAAATACCTATAGAAATGATAAAAACTCAAACGCAACTTCTTAATCTCAAGAATAGCTTTCGAATTTTCATAAGCTTTGCCAAACGTCGGCTTAAGAATCTTTTCAAATAGATAGGAGGTGCAACACATTCCAAATGTTCATCTTATCTTATTGTAAAAAAGTTTTGGTATAAAAAAGGAATTTTCTTGGTTGATGCTTTTTGGAAACGGAAAATTAAAATTAACGACATAAAAGGCACTATCTACAATCAAGTGAGTACAATACAACCCGAAGAAGGACATTCCTGTAACATTACCTCAAAAACAAATGTTTTCCAATAATAATATTACTATCTACAATGACCTCAATAGGAAACAAATATATTTGCAAAAGATACTGTTGTATGTCATCAAAAAACCCTACAAATGATTTACATCGAATCTACAGCTTCAACCTGCTGCCGAGCAAGATATTTCTCCCTTCGCTCTTTCTGAACACGAGTAACCAAAGCACGATTAGAGAATAAAATGGGGATTTTTTTAATAGATTATTTCTCTGTAAAGGTTGTAATTTGATAAATAGACATGAGCAACAACTACTTAGTACTTACCCATTCATCTATAACAAGACCTTCCCCAACAACCCGTGGACCTGTGTCAGCTGCTGGCTTCTTCCGTGCTTCTGCAGCAGCATCGGCTTCAGCCAATTGACGCGTCAGCTTTGCAAGTGTCTTGAATCACCAGAAGACATCAATTGAAACAGAGCAAAATTCACAGAAGAATATGGAATGCAAGTGATGGGAATTGATTCTTACAGGAGTTGAGCGCTCTGGATCCAAGAAGACAACACACAGTATTCGCTCAAGAGTGACTTGATCCCTTTGCTCATCAAACTGCAGAGAGAGGGGAAAAAAAAAAAAAAAAAACACTAATTGAGGTCTAGATGTGCTCATGTCATTCAAATCGAGCTCCAAAAAGTAGCTGAAATACATACAACTCCAAGATGATGAATAGGAGGAAGGCATAAGTACCAGCACAGTTAAAAAATTCAGGCCTGAGTAGGAACAAAAATTATATGAGAAATTCAGGAACAGAAAAATATGAATGTGTGTCAGCTGGATAATGTTAATTATACATTCTCAGTCATGCAAATAATTTAACTCATAAAAGTCAAATCACTCTGCATGCATATCACACAACAAAGAACTATGCTACTTTACCAGATGAATTTTTAACATCATCTTTGTCAGATGTATAGGTGGATGAAAATGATTGGATGGAAATGATGACAGTATTTAAAATAATCCAATGATAAACTGACATGTGGCATTATGTCAACCTAATTGTCAACAAAGATGCCACTGTAGCATGATTGCGCAGTAAAACAAGTCTATTTTTGGACGTGCAGTAATTTACACCATGTCAAACCATCATTTTCAATGGATATGAAGTATGAACAATTCATATACCACAGAAAACTTTTGTTCCACGCCACATATTTAGCAAGCTAGCAGGTCACTTTGCAGGTGAATTACTCGTGTAAAGTTGCATTGTCCCACACCATAAGCATTGGATTAAAAAAAAAAAACAGTGAATGATGCCACTACATTGCAAAAGCAGCAGAGGAGCACCATGGCCTAGGTTCAGTGCTAAATAGAAAACATCATGCACCTATTTGGTTTGGCTAAAAATCAGATTTTAGTTGATTTTGATAAAAGTTAATGAAATGTGAAATTGAAAAATTGATAAATGTTGTGGTTGAAAATGAGTACGGAGAAAAATGAGTTATAAAAAATTAGGGCCAAACAGGGGGCATATCTAATCTGATCATTTAAGTGTTCTCAACATATATACAAGAATTTTTTGTTCCAGAAGACAGTTTCTGTTCATGTCATTTGCTCTTCTTCTTAGATTTACAGTTTCTTCTTTCCACCATGCAAGAGGATGTGGTGATAAGGGTTAATCAAGTCCAGATCATACAAAATCACCCGCTTCTTTGGGGAAAGAAACCATGTAACAAACGCAGGTACTCATCATTGACATTTAAACCAAAAAATAAAAATAAAAATAAAAAAAGGATGCAGTTCAGTGAACTGGCAGTGAAGTTCAAAGCACTAACTCAAACTTGTCCCTTAGGTACTGGAAACTCAACATGATGACATAAATGAGGTGAGAATGTTTAGCAATATCTATGAACTTAGCAGATATGGAATGAAAGTGAAAGGAAACTTATGGAATGGAAAATTTAACTCATGGCCATTGGAAAATTATGACAGACATTGTGCAACCAGCTGTTCACATAACAGTTCAACCATCAATTTCCAATTGGTAGATGAGCACTAATATCATAATCAAAACACTCACCAACTCCGGAACATAATCTGTCCCTTCTTTGACCTTTATACTCATGATCTTGAATTTAACCTTGCTCTTCTTATCTAGAGTCTTTTCATTGTTCTCCGGACGCTCCACAAACTTGAACACTGTCTTACAAATACATATTCATAGGTTTTTTTTTTTTGATAAGACAAATACATATTCATAGTTAGATGACTTCAAACAAACTAAAATTATGCAAAAAGAAGTATTTTAACCTTGGTGCTTATATACACCCATTTAAATTAAGCCCTTGTTTGGTACAGATTAAAATTTAGATTTTAATTAAATCAAAGTCAACAATTCAATCCAACCACATATTTTTTGGGTCCCACAACTTTTCAACCACACATTTCATCAACTTCTATCAAAATTTACTAAGAATTTGATTTTAATCTCCCACCAAACAAGGGCTAAGTTTTTAAAGCAGTCTAACATTGAAAGAGGCTAATTACCAGTAGCAATGAGACTTTCTCCAGGAGCAAGAATACCTCCAGGGGGGCGCATATAACAACTCTTTGGTGCAGTAGTTTGAAACTATAATCCCAAAAAAAAAAAAAAAGGAGAAAGATTTGAAAAAAGGGGGGGGGGGGG